TTTCAAGACACAAAAAAACCCCAAATCTCATATTTGTGCAAGCAAATCCAACTTATAGTGACACTGCAGGATAGAGTAGATCTACCCCAAAGAGTTTACAAGGTTATATGACCTTCAGGGAATCAGACTGTCGCATCTGTCTCCCTGGGAGTGGCTTATGGTTTCCAACCGCTAACCTTTGTTGGTAGCCACTGGATTAATCATTGCAATACCACATGTAAGTACAAATACCACTTGTTTTGTACTTAAAATATTCAAAACAAGGTGAAATTCTCATATCAAAATTCCAAGAAAAAGAGTATTAAAAAGACCTGTATATGGTACAATTTCAACCCAATTGTTTTTGCAGCCCAAATCCCTATGAGAAACTCTATGAGAAGTTTCTGGGGGTAAGGATGTAGTCAGAAAACATGAGAGTAAGGAGATGTCTTGGCGTGAGCCTGTAAAGACGCCAGTCAGTCTGGGCTGGCCTCCTGGGCCTTGGGTGGTGAATTGAACTCTATCGATTCAATGGAGAGAAATGTCCTATGAAAAGATGTAGCATATTATCAGACTCCCACGTGCCGGGGAAGAAAAGGCCTGTAGCTCTTGCTCCATTGGGTAGGGGATTTCAGATGTCACTACATTTCACAGTATTTGAGACATTGCAGAGGCAGCCATCATGACCTTGACGCTTCACCTAACTCTCACTCTTTCCTGTGAGATAGGCTTCTTAAAGACAGAGCTCGTATTCATTTCTTCACCTCTGTATCCCCAGCTCCTAATCATTGTGTGTAATAGAGGGTTAGTAAATATGTAATGAATAAAAACAGGTATGCGTATGTTTAGCCCATTGATTTCCATATTTTTAAAAATTATTCTGATTCGGACACACAGATTATGGTTTAAAATACAGTCTTTTAAAAAAATCCTTTTATTGGGGGCTCATACAACTCTTAACTGCAGTCTTTTGACCCTCAGTCATATCCAGGCTAGGACCAGATTAAGGAGCTTTGCTCTCCCCACAACTGCTGGCTTACTTCACAGAGGATCCCATCGTGGAGTCTCGTCACGGAGGAACCCTGGCCCACCTAAGTCGACATCAACCCTATCACCGTGCCAACATACTGTATGAAAATCAGTGAGCACAAAGCGTCCATCTTTCCATCACTCTTTCAGGAAGAACAATGGTAATGAAAATGGTTTGATGGAAGGAATTTAATGGGTCTTGGGTTTACTAATATGCTCCAGGGAACAAGGTCCAATCAAAACAGGGGTTTGCGGGTGGGATGCGGGCAAGTTAAACTCAAGGCAGAGAAGACAACTTGGACATTTATGTTATTTGTTTTTGTTTTGTTTTGTTTGAGAAAGGATCCACAAGGGATAATCTCAATAGATTTTTCCCCCCCCAAAATAAAGGCCATTCATGAGGGCTTATTATGAAGTTTTAAGAAAATTGAAAGCTACATTGGTGAGGGGGAAAATTTTTTTAATGAAGAAAATTGCACCAAGGATCTTTTTTTCCCCATCAGAATGATGCATTGCCTCATTTCTCTGGCATAGCCAAGCCTGTCTAATGAGAATATCATTGGAAAATCTTAACCCGTCCACTCAATAGTCCAGAGCTTGCCCTTTAAGACTTCCTTTTGTCCCCCCAGCCCAAGGAACATTTCAAAGGAACACAATTTGAGTCCCTTAAAGATACCAAGACTGCTGTTTAAGTGGTGTAAATAAAAGAATACAAAATTCTTTGAGGAAGATCTAGAGAGATGAAAGTACTAACTTCAGAAGTGTACCAACCTAGACGGAGGATAAATCAAGAAACAATCGCTCCATATAGACATAGACATATGTATATTTAAAAATAAATATTTCTATAATTTTGTAGCAATACTTTTGGACTCACACTTGTATAACAATTGTGCCACTTGTCTTCTCTGTCATTAAAAGCAATAAATCCTGTAAGTTGCTTGAATTGTCTTCTCGCTTTATTTTCTATATCTAGTATTTACATCTAGCCAGCACTAAGCTAGTGGAGGGAGGACTTGCGTTTAATATAAGAATTACTTCACGTGAAAAGGGAAAAAAGTATCTTTCTATCTTATTTCTATTTGGCATTCCTTCTTCCATTCTTACTCCACTTTCTCCAACTAGATAAATTGATCTACAGTTAGAAGCCCACCATCTGGAGTCACAAAACAAATGTTTCCGAGTTAGAAGAGAACTTAGAGGAGTCATCTTGTCAGTGGAGGAGTTCTCCCTTGACATTCCTTACATCTCCTCTCCTAAGAGGAATACACCTTCCCTGGGGAGAGATGCTTTCCAAATGCAGTCATCTTACTCCATAATTTCATCTGACAGCCTCCTCAGTTAGGTATCAGATGCTTTATTCTGTTCATTTGTTAGCATGTAAGTTTGAATATAGTAGAATAGTTAAGTCAGGGCAGAAAAGAAGACCTTCCTTACAGTGGAAAGTCAAGCAATAAATAAAGAAGGAAAAATGAAATGGGAAAATCACCAGTTTGCAACCTTCATGAAAATAATGAATTCAGGTCGGAATCATCCATGGGTGCTAAAACTATCGGGTAAAAATTTAAGAGTAGGAAATTTTTTATGTAACATCAAAATATTCTCCACAAAAGGATTGTTCGTGAAGGGCGATTAATGAAAGGGAACGCAGTAACTTGTGGTGGAGGAACCTAGCAGACACTATCAAAAGGTCAAAGTCACGAAGAACAGGACAATTCTTTGGTAAATGCCTCTGAATAGGATGGACAGAGGAAAACACAGCATAATTTCTGAATTTATTCTGGCAACAATGCGACCCTGAAACTAATCAGAAGAAAATATTAAATGAACTCAATCCTAGGCCTAAATTCTCCAAAAAAAAGTAATAGCATAGAATCTAAAAGAGGATTTGGTAACTATTCTATGTAAAATTAAATGGAAGAGAAATGATATTATATAGTACATAATCCTGGACCTTCTTTTACTAGAAAGAACATTATTAGGAAATTTGGTGAAAATTGAAGACAGGATGTAAATTTGATAATAGTATTGAACTCCTGATAATTTTTTTATTTTAATGATTGTTCAGATGTTCCTCTTTTTTTAAGGGAATACATTTTAAGTAAGATATGTAGGAAGAAAAGCAGTATTCTGTCTGCAATTCAAACATCTAGAACTTACTTTGGCCTGGGGGGAAAGAGAGAGAGCGAGTACGCTACATGATATAATGTTAGTAGCTTGGGCATCTGACAAGCAGAGATATAAAGGGGCTTTTCTTTAACTACCTTGTGACTTTTTCACTTAGAAAGTGCAAATGTTGGCAGAGACAAGAAAGCAGGACCAGAAGAAATTGCATTTTATGCATATAAGGAAAAAATAATTAGGATAATATCTGGAGAGAATTTCTAAACCTTATAACTTTACAGGGATTTATTATTGTTTAGTCTCACTATCATTTTTTTTTTTAGTAACAAGTGGTATGACTATTAAAGAAAAAGTCTGTGTGTGTGCGTGCGTGTGTGCGTATGTGTGTGTGATTAAAGAACAGAAAGATGAAGGTGCAAAACGTTTCTGGACTTCAGTATTTGCCTGGAAGCACAGGTGTTTACATGCAGAAAGGTAGAAAGTAACTAGTATGAATCTAAAGAGTATAGAAAAAGAAAGAAAGAAGTCTCTAGTTACATCACAAATGACAGCATTCATTGTTAATCACCTTGCTCTAAGGAATAATTTTTAATAATGTGACGTGTACATTAAATAATGAAGGTAAAATTTAACTTTAATTTATACTAACTAAATATTAGTTACCTTTAATGTGTGACATTCTCAAGTTTCAATCCAAATTTTGCTTATCCATCAGTGTCAATGCGGTTCCTTGAAACTGAGTCCGTGTCCATTTGATTTCTAGTAGGAGTGTTTACTTAGTTACTTGTGTAGTGAAGTAACACTATCTCACTTTAGAGATTCTTTATGGCAAACTAGAAAACACTAATGTGTAATGGCTTCTGTCATTTAATGTTTTCTAGTAGATCTCTGTACACTCACGTGCTACATCTTATAATTTCCTTACAGTGGATTGATTTTCAAACTCCTGCAAAAACAGACAGAAAACAAAGGTAACCAAAGGAAGACATTAAACAGTTCATTGTGAAGCATCTGGTTTACTTCTGAAATATAGTTTTGGGGTTTTTTTTAGCATTATTTATTCTCTACTTATTTAAAAATTGTGTTTAAATATAGCTTACAAGAAAAGTGATAAAAGGCTATTAGGAAAATGTAAAGAAAAAGAAAACAAAATCAGAAAGGAAGAATGAAAATATATTATTTATAAAATTAAACATAGTTTTATAAGTAAAATTTACACCTTTTCCCCTCAGTATCTTGAAACATAGAGTATAAAGGAAGCAAATTAATCTATATTTTTACTATGAGAAATACATTTTTGTCTATTAATAGACACATTGATTCTTGCTACCTGAATCTAAATGAACATGGTAACTTACATTTTCTATGATAGACACATAAGTATATCAATTTTCCCATTTAAAAAATGCAATGACATATTTAAACTCACTTATTTTTTTATAAATATCATTTACAAAAGCTGAGGACATGATGCTGAACTGAAGACGGAAGTGGTCTTTGGGATTTTATTTCGCTCCCTTTGCTCTCTCTTCCTTCACGTACATAGATGCATTGACATCCAGGAAGAGCAGAGAGCCTCTCTTCACTTTTTCAAAGTTTTAAAGAACTAAGGGATATGTTTGGGAGTTGGATGTATTGGGAGAGAACCACAAAAAAATCAATTACATGTCTGCTAAATTACCCTATTAACTATATTTCATGATATACTAAGATCATATAAAAACAGATGTACATTTTAAAACTTAGTAAGTGCTAAGTGCTAGACTGCTTTAGAGTACATATGATTTCAATTGCCTTGAGATCTTCAGATGAGAATCTATCCTCAGAAACTGAGAATCATACTTTGTCCAGCATAGCTCAAGCTTGTCTCATTCATCCTCCAGGGCAAAGCTTCCCTTTGAAAATAAATTCCTCAGTGCTGATTGTACGTCTTTGTTCCTCAGGCTATAAATCAGTGGATTCAACATGGGAGTTACAAGATTATTCAGTAGCTGAATGATAGCACCAAGCAAGGGGCTTGGATTGGGCTGAAGATAGATAACGATGACTGGCCCATAGGCACAAAAGATGGCAGTAATGTGGGCACTGCAGGTAGAGAGTGCCCGCCGCCTGCCCTTTGATGAGCGGATTTTCGATATAGAAATCCCAATGCGAGTGTAGGAGACAAGGATGAGGAAAAAGCAAATGAGCGACAAAAGACCAACATTTGTAAAACCTACCTTCTGGGCTAAAGATACGTCTTCACAGGCTAGTGGTAAAATGGCAGGGATATCACAGAAGTAATAGCTCACCTCATTAGAGCCACAGTAGGGTAACTGGAAGGTGAGAGAGGTTAGGATGATGGCATGGACACAACCACACACCCAGGACCCTGTGGCCAAGACAGAGCAGACTCCATGGTTCATGATGACCATGTATCTTAAAGGGTAACATATTGCTACGAAGCGATCATAGGCCATCACGGTGTATAGGAAACACTCGGTGCACCCCAAGAAGTGATAGAAGAAGAGTTGGGACACACAGCCCTGAAAAGAGATAAGCTGGCTCTGCCCTGAGAGGTATAGCAGCATTTTAGGAGCAGTGGTTGAGGAAAAACCCATGTCAAACACAGAGAGGTTTCCCAGGAAAAAATACATTGGAGTGTGAAGCTGAGAGGAAGAAAGGATAACTGTAAGGATGAGCACATTTGCCAAGAGGGTACAGAAATACAATGATGAGAACAGGGGGAAAAGAGCCATCTCTAGACCTTGTGTCTCAGGGATTCCCAGCAGAATGAACTCAGTCACCATTGTGTGATTTCTCATTTTTATGGAGTAATCAACTCTTGAGTGTCTGTGAAAAAAAAAGAAAACTGATTAAACTCAGTATGAATTTAAATAATCCATATTTAGATCAGTTAAGTAAGAAAACAACAAATGATTGAGATAGAAAATTTTTTTTAATTTGACAGATTTGTATTCAAATTAGTGCTTGATTTGATCTGCCTGCCTCTCCATACTTGATACCTCCTTGTAGTCCAGTATCCAACTGCAGATGTCGCTCATTTGCACTCTCACATAGCAGCTTTACATATCACAGTATTCAAAATGTGAGAATTTATTTAATCTTGACCCTTAAACTCTGATTAACATTACTAAATTACATTATTCCACATTTGATTTTGTATTTCTAAAGGGACTAATATAATGATTCATTGTCTTTATTTTTTTAATCATTTCAAATTCTTGTATTCAACTAAAGTAATGTGTTTACATTAGTGATCCCTAAGTCATTTATGACCATATAAGCTACACATGGAAAAGATTATTTCCCTGAGGATAAGGGTCAACAATGAGACACTAGCTAAAAGAGATGCCTCAGATAATTCTTAATGAACGTAAGCTGAGATGAATAGAACTGATATATTCCGAAGGGTCCTGAATGCAGTGCACATGATTAACTGTTACCTCTGCTCCAGATCTCCAAAGTCTGCAATTGTCTGAGTAGATCCGAATTAAACAGTACTCTCATTTTATGGCCCAGAAGACAAAGGGTAGGGATAGTATAGACTCCCTCAATGACCATATTTTGAAATTATTCAACAAAGTGAAAACTTTATAGATCACCTCTGAATCCGATTGTCTCATACCATATCTCTATCTATTGCATTTTCTTGTCATGTGAGTGGAGAGAGAGAATGAAAGCAAAAATAGATAGTGGAGGACAAAATTTGGGCACTTACATGGCAAAGAGATACCATAGCGGCCTGGTGATACTGGGTGATACTGGGTTTTCCTTTCCAAGCAGAAGAAAGGATTCTTCCCTTACCCAAATACCCACCAGGCTACATTCTGCAAGGAGATACCGGAATGAATCTCCTTTTCAACCACTTTCAAATAAACTGTCACAAATGCTTCAGCTCCCTTACAATGATTTACTCGCCAATTCTAGAAGGGATTACAACAATCCCCAAACATAGAGATTGTAAGTGATCTCGGTCTGCCTTTGGGGCTTATTCCCTGAAGCCAAGTGCCTTACTGAGTCAGGGAGCACTGAGCTCGTTAGTGTAATTGCACCCCAGGAATTAGAGGTGAAAAGAAAGAGAAACAGAAAGACATACCTAAAGTAAAATGTTTTAAGCAATTTTCTGATTTCGTTTTGCAAAAGTATTTCAGTGTACTACTCTTTTTAAGGAAATTAATTTAGTATCGTCTACATTTTTTATTAATTATGTTAGACTGGGTTTTCTAGGGAAATAAAACCACTGGCAGTCATATATATATGACACAAATCTCTATCAACACAGTGGCCCAAACAGTCCCAGAGCAGGCAAGCCAGTCCAACTCAAGTCCACGGCTGAGCTGGAGGCCCTTCTCAACACATGCATCTACTGGCCAGCAGATGAACCTGGAAGCAGGAGGATAAAAGCAGAGGCAGGCCGATAGCGTTGAAATGGAATGAATCCAAGGTCAGCAGGCTACCAACAGTTCCCAGGTTCGGCAGGCCACAGGCTGGGTTGCTGGCCCAAGTCCAAGAAACCAGATGCAGGAACAAGGCCATCAGGAAAAAGAAGAGAGAGTGAGTTCTTCACAATGTCTATTTATAGATATAAAACGGTCCACACCCCAAAGAAGACATCATTAGGCCATAACCTACAACTTAAGGGGGAGGCCTCACAGCAAAACTCTGAGGATTCTGGCTCAGCTAACTTGACGCAAAACCTGTCACAGTTCACCCCGTGCCGGCTTAGTCTCTGGACACATCTCCTGAAGACATACATAATCCTCAAACAAAGACAATGACAAAATCATATTTTTTGGCTAACATGATATAACTAACGTGCATAAAAGCAAAAACATTAATCCCACTTACATAGCAAAAGATAAATATTGGATGCCTAATAATTTTAGTCCTTTTAACAATCACCTTTGAATTATACAATGTTATCAATATCTTTCCTCACCTTCTCTTTCCCAGACCATTAGGAAAAGAGAAAACTATTCAGTGAGGATCCTTTCTTGTGTTACTTTATTTTGAGACTAAATACACACCTGAAAATTACCAAGCTAACCAGGTCATATACCCTTATCACTCCCAATTTTAGAAATCCAGTTGCTAAATTCCCCATCCCTCTCAACCCAATACTCTGAGGAGATGAGCGCATTCTTTGATGCGAGGCATCTTCATCGCAGCTGAAACGCTGAGCATTCACATCAATCAGCAACGCCAAGTCTGGAGCAGGTCGCACAGCAAGACCGCAGTGCTGTGCACCAGCTCACAGGGCTCACAACTTTTTCGTCATTCTGTTGGGTTCTGGTCGACTTAGCCCTAGCCGCTCACTAGGTGAAATGAGCATTAATAGCAAGTGTGGGAGTTCACTTCAGACCATTAGCCATAAGCCCTGAGGCTAGGTCACGCCCATAGACTCTAACAGCACAACCCTGTAAACCTCAGACCAGCCAGCCTTTGACTTCTCTCTTGTCTAGTCTCTGTGAATTAGGTCAACAGGTGTCAATGGAACACGTCCAAACTCAGCCGGTCTCTTTCTTGCTGTGTTTCCCCAACTTTCAATGCACAAGTAGTTCCAGGTAAGCATAAAAGTCTGATTCTTGGGTCTCTAACTTTTAGTCCTAGAAGGCTGGTTCTCCATCCTAGGTGCATCTAAAGGCAAACTGCTTGCTTCAAGGTTTAAAGAGTCAGTCTTTTTTTTTTCTTCTTTTTCTCCCCTCCCTACAGTTATTCCTTCAGAAGTAAATCTATCCTTGTGGTGGTACTAAGTAGGTCTGCAAGCCTTTGCAAATGAAAATGCATCGACACTCAATATTCTGGATGGGGCTCAGCTTTTCTAAGCTTACTCCACCTTGGCATAAAACGAAAATTGTTTCTTCTGGGAGAGTCCTAACACCCCGTTTAGCGAAATCCAGCCAAATATAGTTTAAAACAGGCTTAAAAACTCTCTAATCATAATTCCCATATGTCTATTTTATAACAGTAAGTAGAAGAAGCCAAAATCCATTTAAAATTAGCTTGTTATTTAATCCTTCTAAAACACACAAATTCAGTTTTCCCTTCTTTAGGCTACCCCATGGCATCATGGTTATATATAGAGCTGCTAACCACAAGGTCCCTAGTTCAAAACCACCAGAAACTCTGCAAGAGAAGATGGGGATTTCTACTACTATAAAGAGTGACTTTCTCAGAAATTCACAGGGGCAGTTCCATCCTGTCTTTTATAAGGTCGCTGTAAGTCATTACTGGCTCAAGAGTCAGGGATTTGGTTTTTGAAGGCTATCCTATCCATATGCATAGGCCCTGGACCTCTGGCTAGGTAAATCTAGGAGTCTCAACCATATTTCAACCATCTTATTTACACAGCCTGACTTTTACCTTGAGGAACTCCAGAAGCAGCCTTCTCCCCTAAGCTGCAGTTAAACATCCATTCCATTACCTTCGTCCATTACAGGTAAGAATAAATAAATAAAACTTCTTAGAATCAAACATTTCTTTGAGTCTGGAGCCATTGCAATAGATCCTGCTCCAGATGCCAATTTAGTACATGGTGTGGAGTTCCTATCTGACTTCCTTAGACTACACCATGGACAAGGAGAAGCCAACTCCACTGATTGCCATAAGACAAATTCAGACTTGCCTTCACCCTCTCTTCTTATGATTTTTTTTCCTCTATAACCCCACTCTTGGTACCAATGTCATAGGTTGGGTTTTCTGGAGAAAAAAAACCCAGTGACTCTCACATATTTTTTAGAAATGTATTTCTATCAAGAAAAATGTATACCTTCTTTCACACACAAAAAAAGTGGCCAACACAGCCACAGAGTGGGCAAGTCCAATGCAACTCAAGTCTGTAGAGCAGATACTAAACTGGAAGCCAGTCCCAACTCATGCAGCTGCCAACTGATGAATCAGGAAGTTTGAGGAATAATCAGGAAGCAGGCAGATAGAGGCTGCCTTGAATTAATCCAAGGTTGGTATGGTACATGGCAAGCTGCCAGCAACTCCCATGTCACATGGCAGGCCACGAGCCCTCATCCCGAGAAGCCAGCTGCAGGATCCAGGCCAGTAGGAAGAAGAGAGAGAGCAAATTCTGCACAACGTCTATTTATTTATATATAATTTATATATACTAGTCCACACCTAGAGAGACGTCATCAGGCCATGACCTGCATGTTATAGAGGAAGGCCTTGCTTCCAAACAACTAAAGATCCTATCCCAGCAAAATTGACAGAAAACCTATCACTCTTTTTCATGTGCACGTGTTGTCTTTATAAATAGCTGTTTTGTACACTGTGCCACTTTGAACTGACTTATTGAAAGTAATAACAACTGAAGTAGCTCAGATAATTAAAGAAATTGATGAAAAACTAGGACCGTTAAAACGTAGGAAATAGGGCGGCTCCAGGGATCTTAGTAATAAGAATTTATGAAACATTCTCAGGGAACTGCCATCAGATAACTCAGCCTCGGCTGACTGCTTCTGTGTGCCGCAGCTCGTGATTCAAAGCTGATTTCCTGTGGCCAGGGTGCAGGGCACAGTGAAATGAAGATGGGCATTGATCCAACAGGCATACGAAAGAAAAATTGCCAAGAGAAAGTTAAAGAAAATAGATTGAGGCCAAGCAATGTTTAATTATCTGTCTTACACTTAGTATCTATAAAAGCTTCTGAATACAATATCTTTTATGAACTTAAAAAAATATTGGTGATGGCTTACAATATTTTTCCATGAAGGCCTTGATTAATTTATATATAGAAGCATGCATTTATTGATTCAAAACTACTGAGTGCCAACTATATGCGAGTTACCAA